TGGCAGCCATCTTGGAATTTTTTGTGATGACATCATTATTCCGATTAAATTTTTTAACGAGAGTGAGGAGTAACTATTTAGCCAAGTTCTTGTTACATTTGATATACATAGCATATGTAAAAGTGACTAAAAACACACATTTATTTCCCCTACCCCCATCTTAATTAGCCCAAAATAGGATATTTTATGTCAAAATTTTAAAGTGCTATAAAAAAAATTGCCCAAGCTCTAAGAATGGGGATTTTTTTTCTGAGACACTATATGATATACTGATTCAGAAAAACCAAAAATAAATTTTCCTTTACTTTTTTCCCGCTAATTTCCTACTGCACCCAGGCTACAGGCTTACCGAAAGCTGCCGGCGATAACGTGTAGCGATTGTATAGATCCAAACTTTAATATACTCACTACTTGTGACTGTTTAAACAATCATGAATTTTGCTATTTATCAACTTCAAATCACATTGGAAGAGACCACTTTATGAGTGGCGATATGATAAATAACTGCATTTGTTAGCATAGGTACCTAATGGCACTGTTTACCGTTTGCATAGGTGAGGCGGGACTGCTAGTCAGCAAAGTGACGTCGACATCACCAGTAGATGGATATGCAGCACCAAAAGCTGTCAATGAGAAGAAGTTGATTCGAAATGTCAAGAAGCCTCTTGATGAGTATTTTAATTTCGGAGATATATTGTTAATCGATAAAGAAGGCTACTTATACTTTAAGGATCGCCTTGGGGATACCTTCAGGTGAGCGCCAATCTTTTAATTGTTATATTAAGATAAAAGATACAGAAATATTTTCGAAGAAAAAAGACACAAGAAGAGGCAAAAATACATAGGCCTATCTGATATCAGAACTTTGCATTATAAGTATAATATGTCTTGAGTGAACTAGACTACAAAGTTAAAAGTCCTTGGTTTGACTTCCGACAACCTGGATTACCAGATCTTCGGGTTCGGAGATATTGCATAAATAAAAAGTGATAGAAAATAAAATTTATAAATATTAATTGGCTATTAGTAAATATTGTTATTATTTAGACCGTGCTCCGTGCAATATTATTTTCAAGGAGTTAATTTAACTCCAAATGAGTTTTTCGGTACCTTTACAGAATACCACCTTTGGAGTTAAAATAACTCCTTGAAAAAAAAGCATTGTTGTCACTTTTGTCCTAACTTACTTATGGTTAACATCACTTTCTCCAAAGATGTCGGTTTGTGCTTTTCTTTTCAATGTTTCAATGTATGTCACTGCTGTAAATGCTGACTGATATTGCTTTTGTAGGTGGAAAGGAGAGAACGTAGCAACCACGGAGGTCGACAATGTCCTGACAGACTTCCCAGACATAATAGTGGCAAATACGTACGGCGTTGAAGTGAAAGGTATTGTTTCATGTCAGTTTTGCTTACATGCATGATTACACCAAATCCTTGATGTGCCTCATACTAATTTATAATCATGCTTGCGGTATACCACGTAGATAGTTCTGAAAAGAACTGTTGTTTTGGTTGAGAATATCTGGACGTTTCGATTGAGTTGCTTCAATCGTCGTCAAGAGATTAATGTCTGCAGAAATTTACAGTGAAATATTTGTATGTTTTGGGTAGTGAGACTTTCTGCTGATTGGTAGAAAACTATACAATAACTGAGACTATGTGTGAAAAGGGTAATACAAAAACCATAATTCACAGTCTGTGCAAAAGGGTAGGGCGTGGCTAGAAATCCAAGGCAGTGGCATTGTTCTAGCTTAGTGAAAAGGAAAGCCAAAAACAATGGCATGGTTTTAAGTGTGGCGGGAAAAAGTGTTGCATTGGTTTAGGTCCGTTTAAACATGGACGACCAAATATCGCTGATGACAAATCCCTTATCTTGTACTTTATCGTGTTTGTGAATTTCAATAGGTTCTCTGGTCTGTCAAGAATGCCAATATGGTACAGTGGCTATCAGTTCAGTTTTATCCCAACATACACGATGTTGTTTGTGGGAGTGCATGACTGTAGATGACTTCCCCTCTCCTAGCATGGCCTTGGTGTTCATTGAGCCTTGTAAGGAGATCGCGTCCTGTTTCACCAATGTAAACCTTTCCACACTCGCATGGAGTCTGATAAACTCCTGGCTGGCTCTGTGCTGGTGGTTTATTCTTGTGTGTTTTTAGAGTCCGGGATAGTTTGTTGGGTGCACTATGAAACACTTTAATATCAACTTGTTGTAGAATGTGTTGAATACGATGTGAAAGCTCTCCCAAATATGGTAAACATACAGACTGTCTAGATTCCGTATCATCTTGGCTAATGCTGCGTTTGGATATTTTGAAGTCTCTCGTGTGATAACCATTTAGTTTTAGGGCTTCCCTAACATGCTGCAATTCTTTCTGGATAGAGTTGCTGTGTGCTCTTCTGAAAAGTGTGTTGCAAACACCTTTCTTGGTGGATGGGTGGTGAAACGAGCGTTTGTTTAAATATCTGTCGGTGTGAATCGGTTTGCGATAGACTGAATGTGACAAAATTCTTTCTGGTGACCAAAACATCAAGAAAAGGGAAAGAGCGATTTTCTTCCTCTTCCATAGTAAAATTGATTGCTTTGTGCTGAGAATTCAGGTGATCTAGAAAACTATCTAGGTGCACCTTACTGTGCTGCCAAATGATGAATGTGTCATCGACGTATCGGAGCCAAAGTTGTTGTTGTTGGGTAGCAAAATGAGGAGCTAGTTGTTCGAATTCTTTGAGGAAGATGTTACCAATTACTGGGAATAAAGAAGATCCCACGGCCGTGCCTTCTGTTTGTTCAAAGGATTGGTCATGCCATTCGAAAGTGGTAGACAGTAAACACAGTAAAAGTAGTTCGTTTATCTGTTCTGGGTTGAGTGCTGTTCTTTTCCTGGACAGTAGGTTCCTCTTCTCGACGATATCTGGCTATAAGACACGCCTCCTTGACCGGTACAATTTACTACCTGGTCGTTACATCAAACACAATAATTTATATTATAAATAAAACATAAAATATATATTACACTTACCAACTGCCTGGCAAGATATTCCATAATTTTGCAGTGATCATCATTGTTGGTGGGTCAGGAAGTTTCCTGTTCTCTTAAACTCGGTACTCCAATAATAATCACACTGGGTTTTAGTGGGTCATTGTATTACTTTTTTAAGTAGGTTAATTTTAGAGTATGGGTTACATATACAGTAAACTACTGTGTTTCAAATACACGTTTTACAGTAATTAGATTAGGGCTCAACAACAGTGGGTAGCTAGACACACTTTGAAGTTTTTTTGTTTGTTTTTGTTTTTGTAGTTTAGCCTACACACGCTTACTGGTCCGTACGCCCAGTTAATACATCAGTTGGCGAGAGATCACTTCTAAATTGATACATTTCTAATCTTTTTTACCACAGGAAATGAAGGAAGAGCTGGCATGAGCTGTGTTGTGTCGTCTAGTTGCAGTGAGAACATGTTAAGTCAGTTGTATGTTCACTTGACGGAAAGACTTCCAGCTTACGCATGTCCAAAATTCCTGCGCTTTGTCAAAGAAATGCCAGTGACTGGAACGTATAAGCACCGTAAGGTTGAGCTTCTCAAAGAAGGATTCGACCCACAAATCGTTGAAGATCCCATGTATTTTTTTGACCAAACTGCTAAATCGTACTCGTTATTGGACATGCCGGCCTTTGAAAAGATTTTGCGAGGAGAAGTTCGCTTGTAAATAATTTTCAGATTTGAAATGCCTTATTGAATAAGATACACACCAAAACTGACCAATTATATATTTTTAAGATTTTTATAGTTATTGTTTGTTAATGAAGTGTATTGTGAATCATATTTTCAGTGAAGGAAAGAATATCAATAAGGTACTGAACTCTATACGTCTCACCAATTTTGTGCCTATATAGTGTGTGTAAGTCTACATTTACTTATTTTTATTTAATTTTTCACAAACAAATATTAATGATATAAACAGCAAACATAAAAAATGTCTCCGACTTATAGTGAATTCCATAGAAAATTTAAAATCTTCGTTTTTTGACTTGATAACTTAACTGCTAGCAGATATATACATATAATAATACGCCTACTACAAACTAATAAAAAGGGTACAAAACAAGTATGTACAAATGACATAATAAATTACATATTATTGGATCTATATTTTTAATGTTATTACTTGAAACTCATCGTATATTCGAAGAATTTTTTTTTTTAACGAGACAAGTATTTGTACAAGTTCATGTATCGGTATCCAAATAGTTTTTCGTTCTTCATACAACCTATGTTATCTTGTATTTTATTTAAGTTTATGGAAATTAGGAGAATTTATATAAATGTTCTATTGACAAGTATGAAGTTATCTTTAACAAGAGAATAATGAAAAATGATGCGTATAAAATTAACGATCATAAAAACGATCAAACATAATGCGTACAGTATTACCAATAAATTAGAACCTCCTCCTTTTGGGACCCATCAATTTAGGGAACACTTTTTTTTTTAAGTGTGAATTGAGAGCCAGAAATGAATCTTTTAACACTATGGCTAACCCCTAAGGGGACACTTTGTTCGGTTCTGAAGGTGTCCCCTTAGTAGGGGTTTTACTGTACTTGAATATCACTAGGTCAACAAACTGTTTACAGCACATACCGAGAACAATCAGACACAATATTTTGAACAGACAATATGCAATTAATTTTTAATCAAGTTGAGAAGCTTGTTCAATATAAATCTATTTTTCTCCCGTAGGTACTAAGTATGTTTTTATATCTCTATATATATATATAAGTCTCATAATAGTAAGAGTTGATTTAATCTTGAAATTATTTTCTTTCTTAATTATCTGTAATTTCCAAACATTTAGATGAATAAAGTGATGTCTATGTCTAAGATAAATCTCCAAATTATGTTACGGGTTTCTGTTGTAAAATATCGATTCTATTATATTATATATTATTCTAATGAAAGCTAGAAAATAATTACGATATTTATATTGTAAGTATTAACCACTTATTATGTAATGGGTCTACAGTCTATATCACGATTGACGTGAAGATATGTGTTTGTTATTCAAATTAATATTGAAGCCACGTTTATATACATACATATAAATAATGATGTGAAAACGCATATCCATGCATATACGTAAAGCATGCATAACATATGCATATGCATAATGCAATATGTACCAAACAAAGATAGTACCTGTACTAATATGGAGTGTATCATGTCAATTCAATAGAAAACAGACAATATGCAATTAATTTTTAATAAAGTTGAGAAGCTTGTTCAATATAAATCTATTTTTCTCCTGTAGGTACTAAGTATGTTTTTATATCTCTCTATATATATATGTCTCATAATAGTAAGAGTTGATTTAATCTTGAAATTATTTTCTTTTTTAATTATCTGTAATTTCCAAACATTTAGATGAATAAAGTGATGTCTATGTCTAAGATAAATCTCCAAATTATGTTACGGGTTTCTGTTGTAAAATATCGATTCTATTATATTATATATTATTCTAATAAAAGCTAGAAAAAAATTACGATATTTATATTGTAACTATTAACCACTTATTAAGTAATGGGTCTACAGTACATATCACGATTGACGTGAAGATATGTGTTTGTTATTCAAATTAATATTGAAGCCACGTTTATATACATACATATAAATAATGATGTGAAAACGCATATCCATGCATATACCAGAAAGATGTGTATAAGAGACAGGTTCTGAAGGTGTCCCCTTAGTAGGGGTTTTACTGTACTTGAATATCACTAGGTCAACAAACTGTTTACAGCACATACCGAGAACAATCAGACACAATATTTTGAACAGACAATATGCAATTAATTTTTAATCAAGTTGAGAAGCTTGTTCAATATAAATCTATTTTTCTCCTGTAGGTACTAAGTATGTTTTTATATCTCTATATATATATAAGTCTCATAATAGTAAGAGTTGATTTAATCTTGAAATTATTTTCTTTTTTAATTATCTGTAATTTCCAAACATTTAGATGAATAAAGTGATGTCTATGTCTAAGATAAATCTCCAAATTATGTTACGGGTTTCTGTTGTAAAATATCGATTCTATTATATTATATATTATTCTAATGAAAGCTAGAAAATAATTACGATATTTATATTGTAACTATTAACCACTTATTAAGTAATGGGTCTACAGTATATATCACGATTGACGTGAAGATATGTGTTTGTTATTCAAATTAATATTGAAGCCACGTTTATATACATACATATAAATAATGATGTGAAAACGCATATCCATGCATATACGTAAAGCATGCATAGCATATGCATATGCATAATGCAATATCTACCAAACAAAGATAGTACCTGTACTAATATGGAGTGTATCATGTTGTCAATTCAATAGAAAACGTTCATCCTCAATGGTTAAATTCATTATTAATATATACGTGTTACAGTACTAATGTTCAGAGATATTGAAGAGAAGGCACAGTCACATAGTTGTCTGGATCCTACTTTATTCTTTTACAATAAACGAGAACGTCACAAATACAATTTGTTTCCGACTGTTTAATACAAAGGCATCGTTTCATGAACGCGTTACAAACGCGACATGAAAATAGGCTGTGTTACAAAAACTGATGGGAAGTCTGTTTCGACAGATATGATTTCATTGAGGCGATAATTTCTCACCATACGTGGTCCTCTATAGCTTCTTAACCTTTTACCAATACTGTGAATATTTCAAGAAGACAGTACATTAGTAAACTCTAGGTTGCATTATTACTGTATTTACTTTAATTGCATGGTTTCAAGACCACATTCTATACTTTTATTACTCGTAATGGAATGGAATTATATTTTATTCTGTTATGGTTTGTTATACGTGATGGCTTGGTGGTCTGTGCTGTTCTTCGCGTTTTGTAATCTAGTATGTCGTTGTATAATTGATTAACCACGCCCCGTGATAGGCCTCACTACAACCCTACCCCAAGACAATTGCACCTGTTCTATTTTTGTATACCCCTTATAACATTGAAACATCGATTATAATTTTTTTAAATAATTAGTAATAGCAAAGCTTTCTCATAATAGGTAAAATAATTTTGTATTTTATTGCCTTGTCCTAATGTTCCAATAAAGTAAATTAAAGCTCTATATGAGGTCAACACGTGTGGCATTACAAGCCATTGGAATTTAGTGGGCACCCCGACTGACCTAAAGAAATTAACTTTCAAATACTAATGACCAACAACTATACCCACAATCATTCAAAATAGTCGCGTAAGCAATACAAGATAACAGGAACTGGAAGATTTGTTTTTATATTTCAGTACATTCTGTAACAGAACAAATGTAGATGGTTGATAATCTGTGTCATCAGGGAACCGTGTAATTTCTGTTCCCTGGTGTCATCGACTAGGCCTACAGAAATTGTGTATACACCAAAGGTAATGAATTGCTTATGAATAAAGGTGTTGATCAGACGCTTGTTTAGACGCTCGACTTCCAAACAAAGTCCAAAGAAGTCAACATTTTTCTCACAATCGTAACTAGGATTTAGTATAGAGCATTGATGATCGCAATTATGATCAACTTGAGAGAAATGTCAATCATTTTCTATCATACGAGATTGCACAATAAACAATAATAAAAACAAAGTATTCTAATGCAGGCCTACATGATCGCATTACATGGATATAACTCAGTACACATAACTGTACATCCATTCTAAAAATACTTGGAATAAACAATCTGATATTTATCATATTATTTCTTAATTTACCTCTAAACAGAGATATTTAAAGACCTATTTTAGTGCCGGTCTTTAATTACTGTAGTTAGAGGCAAAGCTGCAAAAGACACTAAAACCCTAGTCTCCAAAGTGGTCTTTATTTGGAGGAGACTTGTAGTTAATTTCGTTTTTCCGTCGGGACGTTTAGACGCGCTGAGCCCAGGCACACATACATTACTTGTGCATGAATAATAAGGGGTCATTCTATTCCAAAAGGATATTGGGATCTATTGAAATGTTATCCACTTTGTCCTTTTAGCCCCCTTCAAAAACGATAAAAAAAAATGTACTACCATACAATCGAACTTATCCACTACCTAGATGGCGCTGTTTTACTCCGTTTTCCATGGTACTAATTAGGACTGGAGCACACATGAGTTTTAGCTCGTCATATCGCCCAAGATTCAGGAGGAAGCAGCTGGCTACACACTAGGCTTGATCATTTGGGACCGGCCGATTCGGCTTCGTCGGTGCTTTGTTCGCACTTGGATAGATATTTCGGTCAGGATTGTCTGTTTCATGAGGTACATGAGAATTATCACGTATTGATACTTGGAAGCTTACCGAAAAAGGTACCGTAAGTTAAAATAATTAAAAATTGTAATTAAATAATTGGGACTTATATTATTAAGATAATGTTAAGAAAGAAATACTAAGAGTATAACAAGGAAATTAAATATTGAGGTTGGTTATATTTCTATTAATAAATTAGACTTACAACTTTAATTTAGCACGTAATTGACTGATTTGAGTCAATATATTATAGTCCTAATTAATTTGAAACATTGCTAATTATAAATAGGTCAATTGTAAGCAGGTCTATATGTATAGTGATTTTTTTAATGTATAGTATAGACCTGGTTTAAGTATATTTGTTTGTTTATTTAAGTTAGTTTAAGTTTTTATTGTTGATAACATAATATTTACTGCCAATATGCAGACAGAATTTCCATGTATCACTTGTTACTTGGACAATAAATCATCTTGTAACTTGTATCTTGTATCTGGTATCTTTGTGTAACAAGCACACTATCTTGTTACATTTTATACCATAAAAGATGTCTTATTTTTTAGTGCGTGATGAAATAATTATTAGATAATTTATGAGCATGATATGGGGTCAACATCTTATTGTACTGAACTGGTAAAGTCTACCTAAACCTGTCCATAATTGATGTATAATTATTACATTATAAATATTATAATATGAGTTGTAATGAATAATAATAAATAAAGGTAATACAGTAATAGTAATAATTATAATAATGATATTTATAACAATCAATCAAGATAATAGGCTTGATATTAAATAATTACTAGTGTTAAAAATAATAATGATTATTATCATAAATAATGATAATAATAATGATGATAGATGATAAGAATAATAACCATAACATAAATAATAGTAATAATAATATTATAGTGATAATAATATTGATAATGTTAATTGTACTGTAATGATAATAATACAGTAAAAGAATATTAGGTCTGTTTATTTTTACTCCAAATTAAATTTTTAAATAAGCTACCGTGGGGTCTGTAGTTAGGTACCGATAATAAGGCAAAACCCAAAAATAATTTAACTGGGTACCGCTTGGACCATCTAAACCAATGTTTAGTAAATTATTGACCGACCTATTATGCAACAGTCACATTTTAAAACTTACAAATATTTCTTATATTTAGCCATTATCTCGTTCGTTACTCCACCTTACACCCTCCCCCATTCCATATGGCCTATGTCTCGTCTACCTTAAACAACCAATTGAAATGTTGTCATTTAATCGAAACTTCATATTGGTAGTACTACGGATTTACATTATGTGAATGTATTAACGTTAGGTTAATTTGGTATAAAATTGGGTACTGTATCTTTAATATAGGTCTAATTGGCGGCATTACGCTAGTAGTATAATTATTTATGTATACTTCGGTTCGTTAGTCCCGTAGAAGACATGTCCTTGACTGAGGTGCCAACATAGCTATGGGCATTTTGATGATATCCTAAATACACAAAATGAGCGTTCTTATTATTTTCGGCGATTTATTTAATTATATAAAGCACAGAAATTGCGCAATGATCCATGTGACACCATCGCAATTCTATTAATTTGTTGAATCAACTTGGACTGCGAACAATGGTATCAATATCATATCCCCGTAAGTACTACATTCCGCATTAAAGATCATCGTTTATAATCAGACAATTAAACTTGGAAATAAGCCTAACTTATATACAGTACAATGTACAGTACTTATAGTAGACCTATTACTTGTATCTTGCATACACAATGACAGCACCCACGTTTTTCAGGTTTTACTCTGCAATTCGCATTTTATAGCGAATAGCCTAATAGGCCCTAGATGCGGTTTAATTATTTTAATCCGTTATGTATTTATTTCATTTACTTTTTATTTATCCCTGACCCAAGTTCAGACGACAAGCAACTCTACTGTCACTTGTTCTTGTCATGAGCCATGTTCTCTGGACGATTATCTTTTTCGCGTAACCACTATTCGTCCTTATATAATCTTTTTTCATTCAAAAAGTGCCTCTTGAATTTAATAAGTTCCCATAAGAACCCCTCGATTTTCATCTTTCCATAAGCGCCCCATCAATTTCCATTCTGTTTTCATAAGCGCCCCTTTTAAATAATCGCCCCTCAGAAAGTGCAAAAAAAAATGTTTTAAGCGCCTGGGCGCTTATTCGCGCGAGTACGGTATCTAGAAGTCTTAAAATGATGGGGATTATGGGGAATTGGGTGAAGATGGAGCTAATGATTTGGTGAGGGGGCACTAGCTCGCAAAATAAGGTAATTTTTAACTACTTGAGCGTGTTTTTTTGCTTCGAACATTCTAAATGGGTAATTTGGGGAGGTGTGCGCAACCTGACCCCCCCCCCTCCCACGCCGCACCCTCCTAGATGAAAATATATTACACTTATAATTTTCAATTAAAAGTTAAATAGAACATTTGTTTTTTAAAGTTCTTAGCTTAACGTACAGACTTATCTAATGTGGAATATTGTGTAATACATGGACTCCTGTGCGATAAACTGATATGTAATCACCTAAAATGTTCGGTCTTGCAATTTGAGAGTGAACTTAGTTTACCCATAATGAAAGGTAATTTTCCAATGGTTCAACCAATAGCAAGAAAAATATCATAGGTACAGGCATGTTACATTGATGGTCTGACTAACACTGCGGGGGTATATATGCTCCGGGCACTACTTAGTCGAACAACTCAAGTCATTCAACCTAAGAAATGTGCTCCGCTCCAAGGCATTACAAAACTCCATCTTTTTACATAACAGAATATAAACATCATTTACACGGTACTCGTGTAAATACAAACGTTACCTTTATACGTCAAACCAATAACATATAGGGTGTTAAATATACAACAATACACTTACATCGTTTCTCATTAATATCTATTCAGTGCAATGATTCTCTTGCCAGTGTGCATAATTTATTTTGGACCCGTGTTCATACTAGATTACTAGTGAAAAATTAAACATCCAGAGATCTCCTTTGTGCGAATAGGCAGCGCACTGATGCATAAGCCCATGTGTACCGGTATTCAACCAATAAAATTCTCATCTTGCGTTCACACCATCAAACGCATCTTTTACAGTCAGCCTACTAACCAATGATGGTCATAAATATCCGTTAGGCCCAACGAAGTTCATCCAACTATTATACCCCTGTAATTATATACTGCCTGTAATCCAACATAAGTTCACAATATTATTCATATAAAATTTTAATTACTGTTGTTTGACTTTACCCTAAAATATATAGGCCTATATAATGTATTGTTGTTTTGTAATCTTTGTGCAATGTATAGAACTAGGTCTGTTTTTATGTATCGTTCGTAATTCAGCTACAAAGCTACAATGATGATATTTTTAAATAAATCTTGAACTTGAACGTGACGTCCGCATCTCAAAAAGCCTCTACATCCACTGTCTATTTTAAAGCGTGCCTACAGTCTTTCGCAACTATAGTTTAAATATAGGCCTAAGTCAACTAACTACAATTCAATTTCGTTAAAAACTATTGTTACTATTATTAAATTATTCCAATGAGTTTCCAATAGACTGTAGCTCTGGGATTATTGATGAAAAATCCGTACTGTTTTATTTAGTTCAATAACTGTACATAACTAGGTTTATGTCGGGCAGACAGTCAATATAAAAAGGGCACTCAAACGGCTTATTTTAATATGAAAGCACTAAACCAACTCCGAAATTTTTTTTTGTAATTCCTTATTACTACTGTATCGTCTTGCGTTTTTTTACAACATTATTACATAGTAGGAAAAGTCGACAAATACTGCAAGCAATCATTAAATATTGTAAAATTATAAAAATAATTTAGAAGACGATACGTAAGGTTATATAATCATTCTGTCTTGCGTTTTATGTCCAGTAGTAATTGTGCTTTATCCAACCTGATGTTTTAACTCACTAAATAAGTAATAGGCCTAGTGCTTTATCCAATCTGACGTTTTAACTCACTGAATGCGCCCCAAAACGAAATTTAAAGTATTTGCAAATGATGTGATTGGGATCGATTCAAACACACAACCTCGTCTAGTATCACACCGACCCTGTCGATACCACTGGCTTGCGTGCTTGCATTAGTTGCTAGGGTTGAATTTAACAAAAACAGCATCCATATTGAGTTTGGATTAAAGGATCGATGTTTAGATAAACAAATGAATGAATTAATTAATTAATTAATTAGTTAATTAATGACTAAATGAATGAATGAACGAATGAACGAATGAATGAATGAATGAATGAATGAATGAACGAATGTGTGCATGCATGAATGAATGGATTAGTGGATGGATAGATGGATGGATGGATCGATGGATGGGTGGATGGAATGGATGAATTTGTTACAAGGATTGGATAAATGGATGAAAGAACGAATGAATGAATAAATGAATTTTAAAAAAAACTCGAAAGGATGAATTCTATCGTAGAACATAAGAATGCCAATCTCAAAACATCAAATTGATAATAATACTAAACCATATTGGTTAGTGAGCTACGTGACAATCTTGTGATTCGAGGTGAAGCGATTAATAATGTACAAGCGCGCACGAATCGTGTTCAATTTTACGTCTATGCACGTTTATGTTTACGAATATTTTCCCCACTTTACTTTATGATTAGGCTATGCTCATTTACAGAAAGTCTTGTATTTTGTTTTATACCGAATGACTCACGGATTCGCTTCCGTATCGACGCCTTCCAATACAATTTTTCTTCCTTTGATCTTTACAAATACCGTCCATACCAGAGATTTATGAAAATTATGTCGCCTGTAATGGTTAGCGAATTGACCTGAATGTAGTGCACCTCTTGCAAAGAAGGATGAAGGCATCTCTCGTGTTGGAGGAGGGCACCCCGCTACTTCAGGTATTCCGACCAGAGGCCAGCGGCCATCTTTGGCTGATATTATCAGCTGAAAACAGGCTAACATTTTCTCATGAGAATATCATTGGTTTTATCGCAATTCAATTCGTTTTGTATGCGAATGTATTTAGTATATTTCGATTAGATCTCTATACAATATAATGAGGATTTGTGTATTTCCTTTAATTATCATTCGTTCGTCATCAAATATTTCCAATTAATATTTTCAATTATACACTAAGACCTTCAATATTTTTTAGTGTCTGCAATGGATTTACATCTTTAATTAAATTTAACATTTTCTTTAAAACAATACAGTGTCAATTATTTAAGCGAGTGCTTAACTTTTACGTTTAATTTAAAACTTTTAGGCTATAATTACCTCGGCCTACATATTTCAATTCAATATTTAGACCGAAAAGAGCCATGATTTCTATTCAAGTAGAAAATTCTGTACAACTCAACGAGAATAGCTTACACACAAAACATTACATACACTATGATTTTTTTTACTAGCCTCATAACCTAATTTATTTACACATATATAGTAAGTTTTGCAGGACTATCCCACATCCACTTGTGAAAATCAACAACGTGACATCATTATTGAAAAACAAACACTTAATGATACTTAATAGGCTAATGTAATGGAATTTACGTTAAACATCGACAGCTGAATATCTAAGTCCACAAAATTCCTACGTTTGATTAGAATGAAATATTACGTCGATGAGGTCAATATGGGCTGCATGTGGTCATGTTCTGGACTACTGAGAGCATCGAATGTTAGGCCCTATGAGTGACGTCATATCATGCTAAGGACTGATATGCTGCTCTCTCATGATTTCCGAAGCTTAGATACATACCGGTACCAGAGAGTGGGTTTACAGTATAGGCCTTGTTATGTACTAAAAGTGGCATACTCATTTTATAAACCTTATATTAACTGGCAGGGTGGACAAGAAGTAAATAATGTTATGACGGCCGGTCATTTAGACTTCAAACGAATGTCCGTCAGTAAGTGTTTCTCATCAGTATCAGCAGATAGCCCAGTCGGCTAAACATTACTGGTGGTAGCCCATTGCGTGTGCGCTGAAACGTGGAGATCTTTTGGTCCCCGGTTAAATTCCCATCGCTGTTCTCCTTGTGTTCCAGCTGGAAGGATGAAAAGCAAGTTTCAAAAGCGCACCGTCTTTCGGATGAGACGTTTACCGTTGGTCCGGTGTAACAAATGATTCAAAAAGTACACTCTTTAAAAAAGAGTAGGTGGTTGTCTGTGTACTGCCCAATCAGCATAAGAAGGACCCCACTGTAAACAAGTCTTCTTCATACTTTCGTGGGTTATTCTTGGTCTTCACACCAAATAAATCCATCCATGCATCCATCACCTATATTATATTTCGTAATTAGTTGAGTATACATAAACATTTATAAATATTCCTTGCGTTTTTCATTCTTAATTCGAGTATTTTTAAAAGATTTTTTTTTAAACTCCATGTATTGTAAGTAAACTTAAAAGTGTGGTGTCTAAATTGACAAGCAACCAGCTTCTTGTTAGTGAGAATTTTATAATTGTAAAATCTTTTCAATCTGTTTTTTATTGTTTAATATTTTTCATAAAAATGAATACCATTCTCTGATTAGCTTCAAGTAACATTAGACAGAGTAAAGCGATTATTATATTTCCATATTATGCTTTCCAGTTATTTTGCAATAGGCGTACTACTACTGCCTGTTCATTATCTGGTATGCATTCGAGCTAATATTACCCTAATGAATAGGCCTAAATACATAAACGTATGTATTATTGTAATGCATACGTTTATGTTAGGATAAGGTATGCTATTAATTTCTTTCGTTACGTTGTTTGTCATGAGAAAACCACTGTCATTGGTGAGAATTGATTTATGGATCCCGAAATTAAAACGAAATGGCAAGTACCGGTACACATAGTTGCAACGTCATTCATTTGTATTAACTAATTACCGTAATTAATATTTATTTTACTTCATTAGAACAATGTTCTTGAGAGTATTGATGTTGTCAACATGTTTGGTATTTGCAACGGCAGCCTCCAACAAGCCAATGCAAGGTAAGTTTAGATGGAAAGTCCAAAACGCCAGAAGCTCAAAAATTAATTTGTGCAGGTAAGTTTGGAATCGAATACCGTCTCTCGTGTAATATGTCTGTAAATGGTTACCCATGGAATGAGAGAGTTTGTGTACATGGTCACGTATTACCCCATTTTTGTGTTTGTGCAGGCGGTGTTTATAGGCCATTTAAGGTAGGCCTATACCGTATTTAAAATTGTGGTGTGGTCAATAAAGAGAGGCCTTGTTACGAACTTTTAATCTAGAAATTGCATCAAAATGTTATCTTTTTCATTTTAATTACCGCACGACTACACACGTGATTTTTGCAATTGCAATTCTGAACATAATATTGTAAAAGATAAGATAGGCCTAGGCCTATATCTTGGAAAGACCTCTTTCATGGTAAAATGATTGCAGCTATCATTTTACGGTATCATCTGACCACAGTTCGAGCACTTTAAGTGCGTTGTAACATTTTGCTTTATTGTAAATATAGAAACTGGCGTCTTAAGTAATTTCGATCTGATGACACAGGGTTTTCTTTTCCCGTGAATTCTCTCTTTCTTCCGTACGTAATGTCCCAATGGAATTGCCTAATGGGCGACCCTAGTGAATTCAGCCCCGGGGAGACCTAGAGAGTGTCAC